TATTAATGTGATATAACTCCCCCCTAAAATAAAACTAAAATTAGGTATTCACATCAAACTAAGATAATCACTGCCTCTATAAAAAGAAACAAGATTAAGAATCCGCAGCCCTGCCTGAAGCTCTGTGAGGCTGTATTACTCTAGAAAAGGGAGGATGGATGGCTGCACGGTGGCGTACGGCCGGCACTCTCACAGCAATTGGGGCCCCCCGGGGTTGAATCGTGGACTGGACGGCCCTCCGGTGTCAACGCGGCTCCTCTCCAGCAGTCCAAACGCATGCAGCTCAGCTGATTGACTCTAAATTGCCCCCGGTGGTGTAAATGTGAGCGTGAGTGGTTGTTTGCTTCTGCGTCGGCCCGTTGACAGTCGGGGTGTAGCCGGCCTTCTCCCGATGTAGGGCCGGGATGGACCCGCCACGACCCCCCCCCCCCCCCCGAAGGGGCAAAGCGGTTTCCGATAATGGATCATCGCGCAAGTATTTGGGAGATTTTACTGAAACATCTGGTTTCGGGGGGTAAATGAGACGTCAGGGGGTCGTCGTCGAGATACTTTGTCTGCGAACCACAAATACTGCGAGAAATCTCTTTTTTCTTCCCCAAAGTGGCCCACCAACCCGGTAGAGCAGCTAAAACTCTCTCTCTGTCACACACACACATAACTCCCAAATCCACTCAGGCAAACAGGAAGAGAACTGGACGTATCCCCCCTCCCTCAGGTACAGGTGAATAGATATAGACACACGGTGAAAAACATCCATTTGTTTTTTTTCACAGCGACGGGGGCTTCAAAGGAATTCACTTCTTGTAAATCTTAACGTGAGATCTCAGATACAACTTGTAACTCTGATTCAGCCGGCAGGGAGACGCGTCAGAAGGCTTTGGGGACGAGCCTCTGTGTGTATATTTACCACTGAGTGTGTCGGACAGGAAGGCAGACTAGAACCCGCCTCCTCCTGATCCCCACAAAAACAGTTCATTATAGATAAGCCCGGGCTCACGCTGTCTCCCGAGACATCTGAGACAAATCCAACTCAGGTTTAGGCTGTTCCTTTCGAGAGGGACATGATCCTGCGTAACGAAGGCCACTCTCTTAGGATCGGAGACATTGTACCAGAGACGAGAACGGGTGCATGACAGTTGCTGATGACGATGACAGGAGGACATGTTTCTAATGCAGGCTATAGATGAATCCGGGGTGGGGGGGTTATGGACGGTTCAAGGACACACACGGGAAGGACGCAAACCGAACGGTGACGCAGGTTGTCGAGTTGCGTTGGCTGGCTTTACAACAAGCGACCTTTGCACTCGCTGCGAGATCCCAGAATAGCCGATGGCACCGGAGCGCGTTGATTCTCTGTGGGAAACACGAGGAGGCCGTGGCAGCAGAGACAGCGGGACGCCCGCGTGCTGCTGCGCTGAGCGTCCACCACGCGTGTTGTGCAGGCCGACGCCAAATGACAGCCATTGTTTTGTCGTGACGGCGGAAACAGGAATAGATCAAAGTTAATCTTCTACTCTGTCAGCGCGCCAGAGGATACTTTCTACAATCATGTCCTTAGACTATTCAAACGCAGAGACTCCTCCTCAGGTTCTCCATATGTGCTTCATGTGTACCTTATGTGTGTGTGTGGTCCGAGCGACACAGCAGGCGCCCAGATGAAAAATTGTAAATGGGAACATAGTCGAGAGGCTTAAAAAGGGTGACAGAGCTTTATTGTATTAACACAAAATGAAACGCTTATATTTGATCAGCAGACCTTAGAGAGAAGACGTGAGGGGCTGTAGAGGTGACTCATATTACACAGACGTGCACCGTCGAACAAGTACAGGCAGGTCCTGAGGAGGGAAACACACACATATACGTATGCACTTGATCTAGAAACATTTTGGTCAGATGACGATTCACAGGCATTTGTCGAAAACCACTACGATGACTGTAAAGAAGCGAGTCTCATATATTCATTTAGGTGTTTCACATTCATATTCATGTAAATAATAACCTCGTTCCTAATTGGAAGCACAACTTATGCCACTAATTGGACAAGTTTTAACTGGTCCTAAATCGCCCCCGAGGACGGAAGGAACACACACACACACAAACCCCCCCCCCCTATCTATCTATCTATCTATCTATCTGCATCTAGTGATTGAACACAAGGGTGTGTGTGCCCCTGTTTCAGAACTGAAACGACAAGTCCATTAAAAATCACTAATAATGTTGTCTTTTCATCTAAGAAGCTTTGCAATAATTTGATATTTGCGTTCTCATTTATATCAACACGTTTACGTTCCTTGATCCAAGATTGTTGCTGAGAGAGCACACAAAAAATGAAAACCGTTATCTTGAGAGCGTTTTCCAACATTGTACATGTGAAAACAATGTGATTGGACAATAATCAAGAGAGAATTCAACATTGGCAATAGTCATAGTCGCTGCCCATTCGGAACCAGCCAAAGATCCTACAATGGCCTTCATTTTTAAAACACAGCCAACAGAAACAGATTCCCACTTTGTTTGTGTTTTTGCCAGCATACTTATGCTTTAGTGTGTGTGTGTGTGCGTTGGTGGGAGTGTGTGTCAGACTCACTACCCCCTTTTCCACTCTCCCTTCATGGTGGGGAGATTAGGTAGTTAATCCCGTAGATCTCAGAGAAAAGCCACTTCTGGTGCCACAATGGATTTCACTCAGTCCACCACAGAGAGGACAGACCTGCTGCCGATATGCATCTCGACCTCTGACGGGAAACACACACACACACACACACACACACACACACACACACACACACACACACACACACACACACACACAGAGGAACACACAGGGCGGAGAACTTCCCCAAGGACAGGATATTATATTACAAATGTATTAGGTGCATTCTATAAATAACATCACTGCCATGTTGATTTATTATGAGACTGTTACGTATTATTAATACTCTTTATGATATAGCTTACTTTATTTAATCAGTGTAATACTTTCTATATTGGATGAAGTAATAGTAATACTTAAAAAATATTTGATGTAAACACATTTTTTCACAACCTGAAATTGCGTTTCTTCCACTCTGCAGGGCTCCACTCTCTGTCACAGCACATGTAAGCCCGGGTATCGATTTTTCTTATTTATTGATTGAGTCATTACACAAGGGTGAACCCACCCCACCACTTCTGATCATTTCCAATGGACCAACTATCACCTGGCATGGCTGTCAAATGTTAGGGCCACTATGAATCCCAGAAGACTGAAGGAGGTTGAATTCAGAGCGGTGCTTTTCTACAGCACAGCTTGATCTTTCCAGACGCAATATGCAACCCAAAGTTTTTTTTAAATTGTTAATAAAGTATAAATAAGTATAAATCACGTTGGTATTTGTTAGAAAAGGGTTTGATTGAGACATTTCTATGGCTGCAAAAACGTATTATTGTGTACAGATTGTGTACGGACATAGAGATTTACAACAGTTTGTCGTTAGTTTTTTATTTCCCCAGAAAGGAATTAACAATCCCCACTTCCTCAATCTCGGAGTCCGGTTTTGCAAGAATAAGGCCGTCTCCTTACTCATTTCTCCAGCCTGCGTGTGTAGTCTTTCCTCCACCTAAAACTGCACTCCCTCCCCCTCAAGATCCCAGTATTTACAGCACCCACTTCCCTGTTGAACCACCCATCAAGGGACTGCCGCCATGTTCTTTAAGGGGTTTCATCAAGCTGCACACTGAGATTTACTAAACCCGGATATAACATATTTCTGACTTCAAAATAAAACGTAAACTGTAAATGAAACAAATGCAATTAGTACACGAGGCTTTCTATCAAAAGTGTGTAGAACATTTTGTAATAAAGTAAATTCTCATTTGAAAATGTATTATCTCATGGACAGTAGTTAAGTCCAGCTCGACCAACAGCAACACTAAATACAGCTTACGTTCAAATACATCAATAGTAATGATAAATAAAACGATAATGTAACACAGACTCTACATGCCAAAGCTTTTGAAGTACATCCTGTGACCTATAGTTCTATACATATGTAGACTTAATTATATTTTGAATTAAGACTTATTTAACAGCAACAACCTGGTTATTGACAAACATGGGGGACCCACAGTACAATGGTTTAACAAAAGTAATTGATTTAACATGAAAAACTGAATTAAAGCTTTAACCAAATATTGAAAAGGCCGGGAGTGCACACAGGAAGGAACACAGAGAAAACTGATGTAGCTCTGCAGTCCCCAGATGGCTGAGTCCTAAAGACTAAAAGAGGATTATAAGAGGGAGGGCGAGCAAACCAGGCCATTAAGTATTTCACACTTGTTGACAAAGAAAAAGCTAATTTAAGTTAATGTGATCAACTCAGGTATCTAACCGCTGAATATTCTGAATATTCCACAATGCAGAGTTGGGTGAATGTGACTCCATTTTACCCCACCTTCCCCTTTTGTATCTATGTGCCCTCACTATCTAAACAGTGCTGTGGCGTATTCATTGACAGGGAAATCTACAGGGTCTCTATTTTGCTTGTATTCCTTACTCTTTTGGGAAGCATGATAAGCAATTTCATTTAATGCTTTTCTCAGGCTGACATATGTGCATATAAATATATTATTTGTGAATGTAAAACATTTATTCTGTATGTGTCTTTGGTTGCCATTATTTGTACTTGGCAGTATATTTTTGGTTCCTGCTGCATATATTCATATTGTCCACAGTTTAATTGTATATATCCTAGCAAATTAATTTCATACCATTCAAACGGTCCACATCTTCCCCTTCCCACTCTTACCCTTTACTTTTTAATTACATACAAGCCTATTCTATTTATTCAATCCATAAATAAGGTTGAATTTAACCAAAAATGCATATGTATACATAACTCTATTTCCAGATGTTCTGAAATGAATTTTTTTTTAAACAAGAAAGAGAGTGCTTTTATTTTCCTAATTAACAACCGGAAGTCTCGCGTCTGTTTCTGCTGCTGCGTCGGCGCTGGCTCAGGGAGGCAGGCAGTCTGACAGCTGAACGGGTCGCGAAGCCACGGCGACGCAGTCTGCAACGTTTTGATCAACAACGACCACAACAAACCGCCGTTTTACAGACGAGCACCGACACGTTTCCGCCTCGTGCGTCGCGTCTTCTCCTCCGTCCCGCGCGGTTTCACCAGAGGACGGTAACCGTTAACCTTGCGGATATTTTTTTAGAAACATTTTCTTTTTGTTCCTCTTTCACGGAGAGAGAAACGGAGCCGTGTCCGGATGTGCCAGCAGTGTCGGGCTTGCTTTTTCCTTCGCATGGCGTAGGCACATTTTTCTTCTTTTTCTTTTTCTTCTTCAAAAAGCGGGATATTCTTGATGTTTGTAGGGTCGGAGGAGGCCCCCGGGTCCGCACCGCGTCCCGCTAACGTCCACCCGGTCCCCCAAATGTCCCCGTTTGTGTGGGAAATGATCAACGGAACGGTTGTGCAATAGAGAGGAAGAAGCGTCGCAGATCACATCCCGACATCTCTGAGATAGAGAGAGAGAGAGAGAGAGAGAGAGAGAGAGAGAGAGACATAGAGAGACATAGAGAGAACGAGAGAGAGTCCCCGGGATTACATCGATACCCCGACAGCGACGTTTGTCGTGTGAGACCGACAAAAAAAAGGTCGAGACATTCGGCTCGTGGTGTCGTGTGAACCCGCTCCGAGGATCACGATGACGGGCAGCAGCACCCCGGCGGACATGGTGAGAGAATTTGACCATTTACATCCACTCATTTCCTTCCAGGGTTTCTTCAGGTGCGACCTCCGGCTGTTCGGGGACCTTCGCTGCATCGACCCGGTGGGACTTGGTGTTTATGGGCTGTAACGTGTAACGGCGACGTGTTTGATCAAAGTTTGGGCTCGTGGATCTACAGCACAAAGTAGATTTCCCCCGTAAAGTGGCAGTTTAACTTGTGTTTCCACATGTTTACTTCTTAAATGGAACCCTTGTATACCTTTTTTGTACTTTGATGAACCGTTTTTCAAATGTATTTTCCTCTGATTCCATACAGCCGTTGTCTCCCATTGATTTCGAAACTTTCCACTGATTTGCATCAGGATGTTAATGGGAGTCTGACCCAACTAATGGCCAGTTGATGTTCATTTAATACGTTTGATTGTGGAGATTTACTGCCGGTTCCGATCACCATTTATCAATCAAGCATTACTTTCAGCCCTAAACTGTGAGGATTTCCACATTTTTGTTTTCATATAACTGCGTATGTAACATTTTGTTAGGACGTCGACTTGAGCTCCAGGAAATGGAGACGGGCCGCTGTCGGTATTTTAAACGTATTCATGGCATAAGTGAGTCATTGCAGAAGTATTGGGCAATTATGTCAGTGACGGAGAAATAAAGAAGGCGAGGTGCTCTCCTGCCCGCTCCCAAGTGCACGTTGACAGGTCGTTTCATTGCGTAGCACAATCACCCATCCCCCCCCCATCATGTCACACGGACTGATGTAGTGGGGCTTTCAAAGGAGGCCAAACCATGACCTGAAGTCTGCGGTCGCCATCGGGCGACTTTTATCTGCTGGCCCTCCCGAGACGCCGTCCTTCTTTATGACTTGTTTTGGCTCACGGTGTGTTTTATGAACTCTCGTCACAAAGGTTCCTGTCTCCTGGGCGAGCTGTTCCGCAAATTAAAAGTCGTGTAACAGGACTTTGACTCGGCTCAGCCATTCTTAGACGTGATACGACCCCCCCCCTCTCTGTGCCGGTCATCTTCGCTGCTCTGAGAATAATTCCGGGTCTATGTATAGAAAGGATAAAGCTCGTAATGTGCCCCTCCGCGCGGAGATCAGCTGCGCCTGTAACCGCCTCATCCCAAGTCTCTGTGATCCCCTGGACAGCAGGTCCGTTATGTCGTTGGGATAAGTTAGGGGTGAGCCGGTCTCCACACGGTCGTATAGCTAAAGTTTGCAGCATCGCGAAGACTCTCCGTGGGTACGGTGGTCCTATTCGCCGACCTCTTATGACCCGGTGGCTAAATCTAGGTCTAAAGTTTAGAGACGGTCTTTCCTAACGCTGATATCCGTGTGTGCGGTGTTTTTTCTTTTGTATTATAAAACGATCACGCATCCAGAGAACCTCGCTAGATGATAAAGTGTCTTTAAGCAACACACCCGATCCCCTCAAGTATCACGTTATTATCGCATCCTTTATTTCCAGTGTCAGTGTTCAATGGTAAAATCATACTATTTCTGCCAACTCCCAAGCATTTTTTAAATATATTTATTCATTTTTGATCCCTGTGTCTTTAGTCCCAGCTTATCACTATGCCTGCAGCACAAACATAAAGGTCACATTTTCACACACAAGTGAGATATTTCTGGCTCCTTCCCGGAAGAAATGGGGAAAAATCAACCGTTTGCATCTAACTCTTACTGTGTTGTTAAAATCAAGCCTCATTCTGTCTAGGGAAGTGTGTGTGTGTGTGTGTGTGTGTGTGTGTGTGTGTGTGTGTGTGTGTGTGTGTGTGTATATATATTACACACACACACACAGAGTGGGTGTGAGAGTAGGAGGAGAGGAGATTGCCGGTGCTAAACATTGTGGGTGAATGAATCTGAGAGACGGAATAGTCATGCGTCTTGAGGATGGAGGAGGGCATTTATTTTTTCCATCCTGAAAAGAAGAAGAAGAAGAAGAAGAAGAAGAAGGAGGAGGGGGGGTGGGGGGCGGTGGGACAGGAAGAGTGAAGGATGGGGAGGGAGGGCTAATTGCCTCACTCCAGGGTGGACCGCGGAAGCGCTGACGGGGCTCTAAATGGTTCCCATGGCAACAGCGGGACACCTTTTTGATCCGAAGTCTGGATGCCGGCGCGAGTAGGTGTAATGGCCGGTGACGGTCACACTGCGGCTACGCGCGTGACGACGAGCCGACAGGAGAAGAACAGAGCGTCTCGGGTTTCCAATAAAACCCGCTGAATAAACACACTCCGGACCACGTAACAGCTTCCAAATTAACCAAATACAATTGTTTTCAGGTTTTTCTTGCACACCATTCAGTTTTATTGACGAGTGTGTGGGATCAGGAGCTCCAGACTGCGGAGGAACCAGAGCTTTGTAAAAGATTGATCGATCACTTTTACTCTTTTTAATTGATATTTCGGTCCTCGGACCCTCATCATTCATCCGTTCAGGCAGCACCTGCACCACACGAGGTCTGTGGGGTCAATTATCATTGTCGCGAAATACTGCTAGTGTCGTTTTGTGGGAAACGTTCACTAGGTTTAACTTTGTAGGTTGTTATTCAGGGATGCTATTAATAATTTTTTGCAAAATGTCAGAATATAGTAAAAAAAAAAGGCTGAGCATGGGACTAATTTCTAAAGCCTAAGGGGATGTCTTTTTAAATATCAGTTTAGTATTGGGAGGGGGGGGGGCACCACAAGAATTCACATCCGACAAGCCAAAAATGACTTTAAATGTATCAACCGTTTTATTTATAAACCTACTCTTTCGGTACCGGCATGTGGCTTTAAACTGCTCACCTCTGTTACTCTGTGTGTGGCTAATTATCATGACGGTGCTATGAAAGCAGTTTATAGTTCATTCCCACATTGTTAGAGCCCCCCGGGGGAGCCGCCCACACACACACAGACACACACAAAGGAGTCAAAGGTTGCGGGTCGGAGGTCAGCGGTGTGTTGCTTGCATATGAAAGAACAGCGGCTGGGGAGTCCTCGCCGCTGGAAGCGGCGCTCCCCATCCCTCCACCCAACTTTAAGCTGAGCGCAGCACTTGTGACATCGAGTAGCTCAAGACAGGGAGAGGTCGGCGTGGGCGGGACGTCGGCCTCCTGCGGGAGCTGCCAACGGGGCCTTTGATTGACACTCTGAGCGCCAGAAAAAGCGCTTTTAAAGCCGCGACAGTTGGATGAAGCGCGCCGACGGATATGTGCGCAGCAGCGGACGCCGTGTGTCGCAGGTCTGAGTCACAGGTCGTGATTCCATCACCGGGTGCAGGGGGTTTGATGTATATTAACTCTGACGTTGTCACATGTAGGTCTGAGCGCGCGATGGAAAAGTTCCGAAAGTTCTGCAGTTCCGAAGATGCCGGAGTCGTCCTCAACCATTCACATATTCATTTCAAGCAGATCAGGGAACTGAGTCAGAGCTGAGATGGTGACAAATTGTGCAACGAGGCGGCTGAAGAAATCTATTCTACTTAAAACCAATGGCATGAATGATTGATGATGATAATAATAATAATAATAATAATGGTAAAGAAATGAATGGGTGTCTAACATACTTTGATGCTGCAAAGCATATATCATTTGTATCGCAGAGGGCCCTAACCCTAAGGCAGGTGTTGTCCAGCATCGGCATTTCGTCGATGAGTTTTGTTAACGTGTAGAATAAATTCAATTGTATTGATGAATGTGCGACACACCAACAGGAAGTCCCATTGAGAACCTCTCCCCCATCGATCGCTTATGTAACTGCGTATGTGTGCCCGCGTGCCCTCCAGTGAGGCCCGTGTCTGTGCTTCCGTGCAATGTCCCGTTTGAAACGTGACACCTGCTGCACGTGCCTGTCAACGGCGGCTCCTTCCCCGTCTGTCACGTTTGTTCCAGCAGGTCAGTTATTCGTAGATGCACGCGTCCCCTTTGAGGGTCATAGTGCTCACAGTGGTGAAGATTGTTGTGTCAGAAATATAAAATGTACAGTACAGAACGAGTCTAACCTTTCTTGTAACCTGACCGTTATGAATATTTTGTGTTTTGAACTTGCAATGGAGCCGCATTGAAAGCCGAGCCAGACTACTTTACTGTGAATTCATCAACCTGGTCGCTTTTGCTGCTTTGCTGGTGAACCTCGACGTTGTCGTTTGTAAGTAGATTGCTTCTAATCATCATTGCCGCGTTCCTTTCTGCCACAGTAACATCAAGAAACGAAGCCCACCACAGGGGGCTGTTGCATATTCAGTTATGGAATTTAATTTTGGTGGTTTAAATGACGAATCATGGGAAAGCAGCTGGTGTCTATAGAGTATATTGTACATTAGAATCACTACAGTGCAAAGCTTCTATATGATACACCTTATTTGCTCAAGTTCAGGTTTTATTATTGTGACGTATTTACCGGTATGAATCTTGCACGTTCGGCACTTTCTGACATCCTCTTTGCTCCGCGGTGGCCGTGATCAGCGCAGTACTCTTATTATTGTTATGTCGCCAGACGAGGCATTGTGTGAGTGCTCGAGCATGTCGCTGCATTGTGTTGTATCCACAGAATACCATCCGGTCGGCTCAGATAAACCCTCCAACACAGAATCTCGTGTTACCGTAGACATGCACCGCGTTGGGGTTATTTTTGAAGAAGAAGAATTGCCGCTGCCTATAACAAGGGGATTTGTCTATATTATTGCTTATAGGTGAAAAGGGGAAGCTTGTTATGTGAAATGAGTCAGAACACGCGGAATTCTGTGTTTTTCGCCCCGCCGGTGCTGCTGCAGGCCCATTTCCTCTCTGTCGGTTCCCTTTGCAATGCTTGGAAGTGTAACCATCCAGTCGACGCATCTCCGCTACGGAAATACTGGAAGTAAACTCGTCTATTTTTTAATCTGAATGAGAAGGATGAATTGATAATCGTGTCATAATTGCATCGGGGCCCTTGGAATCGGACTTAAATCTAATCGTGAGATGCCTAGAGATCCCCCCCACCCTCGCCCCCTCCCCCCGCCTGCTGGCAACCAC